GTTAAATTTAGGGGAGCCTGTATTCTTGGTGTACATGTGCATCAGAATAACACAATTGTGTCCTGTCAATGCCCAGCCATTGCCCCATCCCTATCTACCCCCTTTCTTCTCCTGTTCGCAGAGCTTCTACGCTTGACACGTCTACAAATGTTAAATCTCCTTGCTGAACTAAAAAGAATTTAGGCACGAGAACGACAAAATTACTTTTCTTCAGGTAATAATGAATTCACTATGGTTCTTTGCCACAGGGGTAAAGGGTTACATGATGAATGTGTGTTTAGAAATTATCTTTTATATCTCATGACATTGATTGCAGGTGAAATATGTTTTTTCTTCTCTTTAATTTAATGAGGCTTCTTGGTGGCAATTTGCATAGTTCCAGTACAACATATCCTTTCAGAATAACTCATCAGTAAGATTTAATTGCTATTTTGCCTCATTTTAGCACAAGGTAGTTCTGACTTTCAGTAAGTTCTCAAATTTTCGACACTTCAAAAGAATATGAATATTTCAACTTTTGCCAAGCCATAAGTGTATCATAAAGCTGTGTTGTAACACATTTCCATTCTGTAGAGATAAGCTCTGGATTTTGCTACACATTCACAATTTTTTTTTTACAGCAAACACTTCTTTTATCTGTGGTATTAAAGACACACTTAAATTGGGATTCACAAATAAAATAACATTTACCGCTTGCTATTAGCACAAATGTCTATGGGCAAACCTTACCCCCGATACATCTGTTGTCATATCGTTACTTTAGACAGTTCACAGCTTAGGTTACGAACAAGCGCCTCAGGATTCTTCACGATAGGCTGATTGTAGTTGATGTCATTAACAGACATTTTTGTATGCTGTTTACATGCAAAGAAATGCCCTGTGGCACTTGCAGAGAAATGAATAATTCAGTGATTGTATTAGTCAAAAATTTTCTCTAATGGTGCTTAGTGAAAATCTCCAGCTGTGATACTGGATTATACATTCTTCTAATACTGGATGCCTGCACTCTTGGGAATCCTAGAAAATAATTTGGAATAATAGGATTAACCTGTTCGTGTATACTGTACAATCAACAGCTTATTTTTTTTTATTCATTTTTTACTAAGCTAAAATGTGATACAGGTAAGAATTTCCAATATTTGTTTTGTCATTGTACAAGAACATGTAAGAATGTATTTACTAATAACAATTTCATCAGATAATCAGAAAAAAATTGTACATTTTATAAATTAAAAAAACAATATTATTTTAAAAAAAAAGCTTTATTTTGGGGGCGTAATTGAGATACATTTTAAAAAATATATATATAATAATAATTGCCTATAATTATAAGGAGCATATATCTATAAAGAACAAAATGTTGGTATTCTCTTATTATATGTATCTATCCTTATATTCATATTTTAACCTTCAAAGCCTTAAACAATCAAGGCCCACAATACCTGAAAGAACTCCCAACACCATATATTCTATACCACTCACTTCGGTCAGTTAACAAATCCCTCTTGTCAGTGCCCAGGATAAAGACAAACTCAGGTTCCCGAGCATTGAGCCACGCTGCCCCCACAATCTGGAACCTTTTTTTACCAAGCATTCGGTCAGCTCATCTGACTATCAGAAGCTCTTATATATGTTTTAGATATTTGTATAGTACTTTGAGTCTCACAGGGAGAAAAGCGCTATAAAAATTGCAAATTATTATTATTACCCTGCAATTGGGTGCCTTTATACTGTTTTTTTTGCGCCTCACAGTCAGAGTAGGAAAAGTTAAAGAAAGAAGAGGAGAAGGTTTCTGTTCTTCTCTTCATTTAGAGTGGTGGATGATGCTTTGTTATATATAAATTCTGCATATGGCAGTCAGCTTAGAGGTGCAATTATCTCCAGGACAGAGGAGAAGATAGACCGGCTGTACAGTCTAAATCTGTGGAACTGTTTTGGGCATGAAAGCCATGCTTGCAGTCAGTCAAATATGACTTCCAACTATCTTTCGAACCACTGGGCCAATTTGGATGATTTTTGAATACAGGTAGTTCCCGACTTTACGAACTAATTGGTTCCAAAGCCTAGTTCATAAAGTGAGAGTTCATAAAGTGAGAACTAATTTCCCATAGACACAATGTAATAAACACGGGTTCCGTTCCTGACCAACACATTTTACCATTGAAAACCTAAATTATTAAGTACAAATACAACATAAAGCATAGCAAATACATGTATGTTGTAGGAATTTTACCATATTTCATACCATATTGAAATCTTCTTTAAATTATGATCAATCCTCATACTACTCAATGAAGAGACATGCTGCACTTGTTGAATAGGGAACCTCGCTTAAACCATACTTATTCGTTTTCTTTATTATCAGCATCCCCCTCTCCTTTATCACTTTTCCTTTACTCCTTTTATTTTTACAGCTCTCAAACTCTCCTCCTTCTCTCTTACTTTCAAGCTTGCATCTCTTTTTTTTTTAGCACTTTTCTGTTACTGTTTATTTTTACTGCTCTCAAACTTTCTTCCTATCCGCTTTTTCAGGCTTATCAGCCCTCCTCCTGCTCCTTACTATTGCTGGCTCCTTACTATTCCTGCTCCTTACTATTGCTGGCTGCCAAAACATGGCACAATGTCAAACACACATACACACAGACAGCTATGTCAGACACACACAGACAAATCAAGTCAAATCTATATTCAACAGCACACAATGTAATAAAATTACAGGATCTGTAATGTATGCTCATGAAAGCACAAAAATACAGTACATTCTAAACCTGTTTTTTAGACTTCCCTTTATCTTCAGGAACTGTGTTCCTGATCCTCATCTCTCTTCTTGTCTACTCCTAATCACAAATTCCTCTTCTTCTCTTCTTGTTTGTGCTCCTAAGCACTCTTCTCTGTCCTGCTCCGTGGACCACTGACACAAAATGGAGGTGAAACTAAATGGCAGCACATCCAGAAAAAAGTTCATAAAGTCGGGAGTTCATAAAGCGAGAGTTCATAAAGTGAGAAATGCCTGTATGTTTGTTCACTGATTATGCTGGTTCAGAAAATATAACTTTTATGGAAATTGCATGTATAGTTTTGAACTTATGAATATTGTGTAATACTGTATATTTTCTACCTGTGATAATTAGCTTAGCCCATTGTGTTCAGTAATTATATCACAGGCAGAGTGGAGGGTTTGTGTGCCTTAGCTGGGAGTGTCTGACGTGGGTGGTACCCTTGTGGGAAAACCTGTATATAAGAAAGTCCTGTGTACTCATTAAAACAGTTCTACTTGACCCTTCAACTCGCAGCCTCAACTCGTGTTTATAGGGGACAGCTATAATCACTACAGGGATTGCTGTACTCTGCATACTCCCTTAGTTACTGAGCTCTTCGCTCTACAGAAGGAAGAGGTTCACTCACTGGAACCTGAAGCCTGGTCATAGGTCAAGGGCGGATAGCAGATGGCGAGATCCCAGCCCAGCAACGGCGGTTCGTGGAGTCTGCAGTACTTATGGTGTCTACGGTGCTGATGGTCCTTTGGTGAGCTTTCTATGGTCCAACTTTCAGCTAGCCTGGAGGCAACCATAACAAAGACAATTTTAATTCATGCAGCATTTAATTACAACCATATGGAAACAGAACAGTGGGACAGGGTAAAACTTACATGTCAAGGGGTCTTTTAGGCCATCCTGCTCTCTGATCCCCCCTCCACAAAAAGAAAATGCAGGCCAAGTGAGTTTAAATTATTTATTAAGTGGACATTGCAGGTATAAAAATATCTGAAAAACATATTCACATCTGATAATTGTATATGTATATACACTGATCATTCATAACATTAAAACCACCTACCAAATATTGTGTAGATCCCCCTTGTGCTGCCAAAACAGCTCTTGTGTCAAGGCATGGACCTCTAAATTGTCCAGTGATATCTGGCACCAAGACATTAGCAGCACCTCCTTTAAGTCCTGCAAGTTGCGAGGTGGGGGCCTCCATGGATCATATTTGTTGTTCCAGCACATGCCACAGATGCCCATTTGGGTTGATATCTGGGGGATTTGCAGAACAGGGCAACTCCTTGAACTCTCATGTTTTCAAACCTTTCCTGAACAAGTTTTGCAGAGTGGAAGGGCAAATTGTCCTGTTGAAAAAGGACACTGCGAACAGAGAACACCATTGCCATGAACGGATGTATGTGGTCTGTAACAATCTCTAGGTAGGTGGTATTTGTCAAAGTAATATCCACATGAATGCCAAGACCCAAGCTTTCCCAGCAGATCATTGCCCTGAGCATAACACTGCCTCTGCCGGCCTGCCTTCTTCACATCCTGCATCCTGCTGCAATCTCTTCCCCAGGTAAATGACACACACGCATCTGGCCATCCACCTGATCTAAAAAAAATGTGATTCATCATACAAGACAATCTTCTTCCATTGCTCCATGCTCCAGTTCTCAAGTCACCATTGAAGGTGCATTCAGCAGTTAGGTACTAACTACAGCATACTGGCAAAACTCCACAAGACTTGATGATTTGGAGATGATCTGACCCAGTTGTCTAGTCATCACTATTTGTCTTCTTGCCAAATTCACTCAGATCTTTCTAGCTTGCTGTTGTGGTCGTGACCTAAATATGAATATTAATCTCTTAATACATAATAATTAAGCAATACGGAACAACATTAATATTTTTATAATTCATGGTATTATGGTCGAATATGTGGATAGAAAATACACAAAACGTAATATTAAATGTATATTTAATATAACTATAATAAATAAACAGATGCTAGCGGAGTGTCAATTTCAATAATTATACAATACAATACTACACAAAACACTATTGGTTGCTAAATATTATACAAAAGGCTATTACAATTGCTAACTGTTACAATACAAACATATTACTTACAAGGCCCCAGCCAAAGGGCTGGGGCTAAGTCAGAGCTGGTGCTACATGATCAGTCAGGTACAGGCAAACAGAGCTAGCTTCTCCTCACATCTGGGTTTTTATTCAGTGTAAGTAGGCTGGCCTGTGATGTCACTGCCAGAAGCACAGGTCTTCCTACACACTCCCCCTAATGGTGCCCCCAAAGCATTACACTAAATATGCTTTACTGACATCTAGTGGTGCGTCTAAAGCATTAAGCTCATTATGCTTTTTTTTATGACAAAAAGTCATTAATTAATAAATACCATTACAAACCACCCTTTGACTTATGTCATAAAACAAACATTATAAACCCGTACATCTACCCTATTTTAACAGTACCTGCCCTACAACAAAACCCACCTTTTTAAGAATGATACCCATTTACCCGTAAAGTTATGACACTTTATTGCTTATTCAATATTTTGTTTTTTTTTTTTCATTGAGCACATGCATCACCAGTTGGGAATAACCACTGAGCACATGCATTAGCAGTTGGGAAACCTTGGCCTTAAATAGGCAAATACCCACCCTTGTAATAATAGACAACTCAAACCATGTTTTATTAGATTAACCAATGATATTGTGTTCATGTGAGGATGTGTTTTGGAGCTTAATATAGTATTAGACACCACAAACTCATAACACCTATGAATCATGGCACAGACCGACTCGATTTCTGTAGCCTCTGGCTGGTCTGTGTGCCTGGAATTTTCACAAACATTAGTCCTGGAAACTGGATACTCTATTCTTCGACAGTCTCATAGAACATACGCATGGAGACAGGGATGAATGAAACAGTTCATGTGATCAAGGACTTTTGTGTGTTTGTGGTCACATTGTTTTGTTTTTTTCTTTCTTTATTCCATTAACCACCTTGACGTAACAGTTTCCTGCTCCTGATGCATTTTGTTCCGACTCTCACCACTCTTAGCTGCAATATTTTTTCTCCTTACAGCAACAGTTGAGCATAGTGTCCAATGCTTCTTCTTCTTCTGCTTAAAATATCCTTGCTTGAAAGTTCTTGAATGAAAACACAGGCAATGACGAACACAAACATAAATAATAACTGTGCCAATCATCACAAGTACCATTTGATTGTGGTGTTTTAACCATATTTTTTTTCTATGGCGTTTGGATAAATACCTACACACCTCTCTTCACATCCAGCACACTCCTGATTCACAGATAAACACAATATCACTGCTGTATCTACCAATTTAACCCAAACACTCGTTATTACTGCTGCATTTACCAATTTAATCTAAACACTCGTTATCACTGCTGTATTTAACCAATTTAATCTAAACATTAACCAAAACAATTACATTCCTATTTACCACCCTTCTATTTAAACATGTATAGATAACCCAAAATGCCTACCTTCTCTTATCCCTCTTATCATTCTTCCATTTTTTTTTTTTTTGAACTGCAACCACTCATGCACTTTACACAGACACAAATCAAGCACCTACTGGACAATGGGGTTCCCTCGTTAGAGCCCTCCCACCCCAGTTTGGTTTACACAAAAATACCACCTGGTCCCTATGGGTCAATTCCCCCCTTTCCCAAGCAAGCATACATACATACATACATACAACAATAATACATAAGGGTTTCAATTGCAATACAATCACTAGAAATAAGAGAATAGTATGCACAAAATCATAGCATAGACATGTTAAATAGACAATAAAATAAAACATTCAATAGCTCATCAAAGGTCAACATTTAAACACTGGTCTCCATCTGATATTCTATCTGTGTTCCAATGTCCACCTCTGGTTTCTGCTACATCTGAAAAGGTTAGGAAACAGATCAGGATTACTTTCCTAGTCACTTATAGCGTATACTGCAAATATTTTACTTAGAATATATATATACACACACAGACATGTAAACACATTCCTTCAGCTTTTCATTTTATAAACAATTTGTTCAACAAGGTAACTTTCTTAATTTTCTACTCGGCTCTTAAAATAAACAATCAGCTAATAGCTGCTTTCTGCATCTTCTCTGCAATTCAGGAAACACATTTCTAGCCAACCTAAACATGTTTAATAACTCTCCACCCTTTGGTTAAATTATAGAGTAGTGAACCACAACACCTCTTCCGCCTCTGAAAGGATATAGGTCAATATGTCTCAAAGTTCAACACTTCTGAAAGCTATGAGTGACTCCCTATTAATTTCTAGCCTTTCCACGGACATGCTTGCACCTCGCGGCTAAGGGTCTGCACAACTAACCACCCTGTGATGGCAGTGGCTTTCCGCATGGGGGTGACCGCCCCCGCAAAATTATAGAGGAGCAAACATACAGCAGCCTCTTTTCCGGCTCGATTAAAGGTTCTGGGCCAATATGTCTGCAATTTAACCAGTACACTCACGTATCACTTATTGTATATTTCCTGGTCTCTCAGGAATTTCTATTAAATAGCGTATCCCCTTCCCAGGGCAATATACAACAAAAACTAGTCACCAAGGGTCTCTACGGTCATGATAGGCCACCCTACCACTAGTGTAATACGCCCTTTTTTTTAAAATATATTTCCTGGTCTCTCAGAGATTTTGCCTATCCCTTTCCCAGAGCAATATATATAAACAATTACAAATAAGTTACAAAACGCTACTTATAAGTAATACAGGGTTTCAAATAATAATACAGGATAGAACAGCACAACAACTATTGGGTATGCTCCCCCTTATCCGGACACGTTTAAATACCCCCTAGCTCAGGTTCCCCACCCGCTACTGTAACTAAAATCACAGACCATGTTATGGAGGTTCACCCGCTAGGCAGATACACCCTAATTCAAAGCATGGAAATATTAAAATCAGTTATAGATGGCTTCTAAAATAATATAAATCTTAATCTGAGCCCCTACACTTACTTTGTTAAAAATGCTAACTTGTTAAAATATTCAGACTAAATAGGACAAAGGAATTATTTTACCATTTTTTCAGTTCATTTGTTACCAGTTCCTGCATATGTCCAGTAATTCCTTAGTCCTGGATAATAAAGCTGAAAAACACTCCACAAATTGATTAGTTTAGGCAATTACATTTACAAAACAATGCAGTTTATTTTTTCTCATACAGGCAAGACTACCCACCCCCAACAAGGACAAATTCTCCCCCAGCTGTAGCTGAAAAGCATGGTCACACAGCTGTTAAAAAGGTGGTCTCTCCTTCATGAGTCAAAATCATATATATATTTATACTAATATTCTGTGTATACGCACACATAAATCTATTATTCACTGAATCTGCTTTACTAAACGTATCTTTTTCTTAACTACTAATTTAATACATTTGTCCAAATCTCTTTTCAACTAGACAAATCCATGAATGCCAAACAAATGTAAATTAGTACACAAACAGGGTCAAATTTAGCAATAAAACCTGGTGAACTAGTTTAGTGAAAAGTCTTTTCCTATGCAAATGAAAGCAAACAATGAAACTAGGCCTCAACTCATTCACACCATGTGGTCAATGGTGGATTAAAATCCACATGGTCAGACAAAAAGTAAAATTGTTTTTTGTTTTATATATAAAAATGACCAAAGGTTGGTAAAACGTAACAAGCAACACAATAATTCATCACTATGTTCTACAACAAGAGATACCTTAAAAACAAATATCTAATCCCTATCTGCTATCTGCATTCATTCCATTAAAACCAAATCATCATTCATTTATTCATTTGTATACAGACAGACAATTTACAGTATGATTTAAGCAAAATGCATAACATTTATATTTTCCCCAATATTCAAGCATAATCCTGCCGACTACGCCAAATGTTGTGGTCGTGACCTAAATATGAATATTAATCTCTTAATACATAATAATTAAGCAATACGGAACAACATTAATATTTTTATAATTCATGGTATTATGGTCGAATATGTGGATAGAAAATACACAAAACGTTGTAATATTAAATGTATATTTAATATAACTATAATAAATAAACAGATGCTAGCGGAATGTCAATTTCAATAATTATACAATACAATACTACACAAAACACTATTGGTTGCTAAATATTATACAAAAGGCTATTACAATTGCTAACTGTTACAATACAAACATATTACTTACAAGGCCCCAGCCAAAGGGCTGGGGCTAAGTCAGAGCTGGTGCTACATGATCAGTCAGGTACAGGCAAACAGAGCTAGCTTCTCCTCACATCTGGGTTTTTATTCAGTGTAAGTAGGCTGGCCTGTGATGTCACTGCCAGAAGCACAGGTCTTCCTACACACTCCCCCTAATGGTGCCCCCAAAGCATTACACTAAATATGCTTTACCGACATCTAGAGGTGCGTCTAAAGCATTAAGCTCATTATGCTTTTTTTTATGACAAAAAGTCATTAATTAATAAATACCATTACACTTGCCCATTTTTTTCTGCTTCCAACACATGAAAATCAAAAACAGTCTGTTCACTTGACCGGTGCCATTGGAACAATATAATCAATATTATTCACTTCATCTGTCAGAAGTTTTAATGTTGTGACTGATCAGTGTATGTATGTATGTATGTGCATATTTATGTTTGCAATATATTGTTTTAAAATCTGTGAGTAATGTGAGAGTATGCAGCTGCATTCATGCATGCAGGGTAAAAGATAATGTTAGAAGCGGTTAGGGTAAAGAGGATTTAAGGTTTAAGAGGGGTTGTCAGAGTTATGTTACAAAGGTCATTTAGTGTTTACGGGAAAATTTCCTCAGAGGGCTTCTAGTGGGGTGTGGCCTAGGGCAGTTATTAGATGGTGCCACCGTTTGCCATGGTATAGAGGCCAGCGGCACCTCCACCCATTCTTGTTCCAGTGTTTTCCACTGTTTGCAGCTATCCCCATGGCACCATTCCAAGATTCTGGTAAATTGAGTTGATAAAAAGTATTGGAAGGGGTCGGGCAGTCCCAGTCCTCCCTTGTCTTTAGGCCTAGTCAAGGTACTGAATGACAGTCTGGGTCTGTGACCAAACCATATAAAGTTGGTGAATATCCTCCGCACAATGGTGAAGAACAAGGGGGCACCTCTATGGGCAGTGTTTGTTACAGATAGAGTAGGCAGGGGAGGGCGTTCATTTTAATAATGTTTATCCTGCCTATCCAGGAGAAATGTGGTTTGTTCCATCTTGCGGTGTCTCGCTTAAGAGCTTGGAGTAGTGGTGTAAAGTTTAGGGTGTTTTGTAGGTTTGGAGTGATTTTTATCCCTAGATATTTAATGTGTTATCAGGCAATTTTGAAGGGGAATGTCATTTTGATTTCTGTGAGCATTCGGTCTGCAATCGCTATTGGGAATATCTCACTCTTATCGTAGTTCACCTTAAAGTTGGATATGTTCGAGTAGTTTGATAGCTCGGATAGTAGGTGGGGCATGGACATTGCCGGGTCAGTTATGGTGAATAGGAGATCTTGTAATGGGTGTATGTACCTCGAATGTCGTGTATGTTCTCATTGGACCTTACTGCGTTAAGGAAGAGTGTACATCCCTGCCTCGTGCCATTAAGAATAGGCAGGGGGTCGAAGTAAGTGCCGTTGACCTGCACCCTAGCCTGTGGTTGGGAGTATAGTGACCACGTCACCCACTGTTCACCAAACCCCATGTCCTTCAGCACTTCAAAGAGTAGGGACCAGTCCACCCTATCGGATGCTTTTTCGGCATCTATGCTGATTAGCAGTGTTTGGATTTTTTGGGCCAACACCAATGTTAATTATTTTGATGGTGTCGTCCTTTTGCTTCCCTGTTGGGGGTGAAGCCTGCTTGGTCTGAGCGTATTAACCTTGTTACTAAGGGTTTTAGTCTATTGTGGTTCCTGACTTCAGTGAGTTAAATGTTGTCAGCATGTGCGGGCCCAGTTGGGGGGGGGGTGTGAATATTTAATAATATTTGTTTGAGTACCCTGGGTTCTTTCCATTGGGGGCTGCTTTAATTGCCACAGTCAGTTCTTGGTATGTGAATGGGTTATTGAGTGAGTTGTGCATGTCTGGGGTTAGTCCCTCAGCCTCAATGCAGCCTACATTTCCCACAACTCATTGGGTAGACTCACGTGACATAAGCACGTCATCAGTTCCCGCGCCCCACGTGACCGCCTGAATACTGAAGTGCAGATCATTTTTATGCTTTAACAATTTGTATGCTTTGTATACTACACAATCTTCATTTTAATAAACTAAATATGGATCTATATTTTACCTATGATGTATATTACTGTATTAATGTTATCTTATTTTGTACTGTGCTTTATGTTCTATATGTCTCATAAAGATGGCGTCATTTTGGGGCCATAATTTGAATAGTTAATTGATTTACTGCCTATATATACTATTCTGTACCAGGTTTCTGTTTTTATTGCCAGTTGATAAAGCCTGTGTGGCGAAACGCGTTTTGGCTGCTTTTAATATTTGTTACGTGTACTATTAAAGGAATATTGGCCTCTTTAAACCTGTATGTGCAATATACCTTTTTTTAAAAATCATTTTACCTTTTATAGTTTTATTTTATTTTTCTTTACTTTAACCTGGTCATCTACTACATTGGATTATTCATTCGCGCAAGAATCCCAGGTGGGGATTGTACCACCTACGCTATCACAGTGAGCAGTATATCCTGCTCACTTAAATATGAGTACTTTACGTTTCTATACCTAACTGCCTTATAATCTATACAGTGAGCACTATATTTGGTTCTATTTTCTCTCCATACCGAGGACCTCTTCTGCATACCAACACCTATATCCTACCAGTGGGGAATCGACGCCACTGAATGCCAGTTATACCTGAGTTAGTTCTAGTTCTCTAATATGGCTCAAACGTGTTCTATAATAAAGTTATGAAACCATGATGTAATTTTGGGGCCAAAATTACGTAATATGAGGCCTATATAAAGCCAGTGTTTTCAGGTACATGTTTTTATCCACTTGAGAGAGCCTTAAGGGGAGAAACACATTGTGGTATTTTACTCTTATTTATTTATTTATTTATTTATTTTTGCCTTTATTTTTCCCATTTTACTCTTTTATTTATTTATTTTTACCTTTAGTTTTACCTGGCACCAGAGTTTGTATTGTTCCAGTGAGAATTTTACTCCAAAAAATCCTTGGTGAGGATTATACCACTCAAGATTTATTCATTGAGCAGGCTGCCTGCTCAATAAAATGTGAGTAACAACTTAGTATTTTATTATTTCACTGGCTTTTATACAATAAGCACTATTATTGTTTCTTTTACCAAAAAGATATCCATCTACTACAAAACTTCACATATCTCATAAGTAGGGATTGTACCACTGTATGCCATCCACACTAGAGCTAGTTTTATAGCTCTGGAAAATGTGAGTAGGACCATATAGACCTCTTACAAAATAGTACAAAGTACCTGTTGGGATATACTGCACAATTATTTGCTGTCTTTTTATTTTTTTCATACGGATCTCACGAATATCCCATGCCCATACCTTATTGAGGAATACTTCCTCTAACAAGATTGTGATTGACTTCTTATACAAGGTTTTATTTGGACTTTTTGCTGTATTTATCGGGCATAGACTCTTTTGGACCTACTTTTTGGA